TTAGGGAGGGGATAAAAGCGTTCAGGGCCTATGGTTCCAGATAGCCGAGTAAACATTCCTGTAGATGTGGAAAAGGATGGCTTCAGGCAAGAATACAATGATTAACTTATGGTGAAATTGTTGCTGGCATTCGTAGGTCAGGTAAAGACAAACAGATGTCTGCACACTGAATGAGCTGCTGACGATATGCAGTTAACCAAATCTCAGCAACAAGACAACTTTAAGAGAATAAAGATAGGAAAAAAGCTAGCAACGAAAAATTCCTGCAGAATTCCATCTCAATTGTATTAGTACAGACGGACAAAAGCACAAGCTGACTGCTGTCAAGTTCAAATTTAGGACAACGTTCATAAATATTTTACACAGAAGCTAACTTCTAGCTGGAACAGGTGCCAGGAAGGGTGATTTACACCATCACAGATGTTGCTGTGGCAAGAACCTGTAGTCTGCAGAGATGAAATTGAATGGTCACTTTTCATGCAATCTATTCTGATGATCTTCTGTGAAAAATTAAGAAAAGTTCATTATTAATAAACAATAAAATACCAGCTTTATTCTTCGCAAGTTTTTTGCTGCTGGCAGTTCCTGTACCATAGGTTACGCCATCAATAACGACTGAGGCTCCAAAAGGGTCACTTGGATTTTCTGAAAAAAAATACACACAAAGATCTGGTAAGTCAGCACTTCCGGATGAAGAAAATACTTAAACAAATAATGCTTTGTGGAATAATTGAAAGCTAGAGTTTTTTTTATATAAAAAGAGTCACAGAAAAATTTCAAGTCTTTTTGCAAATTAATAGGGAAAAATCTTGACATCATTTAGAGCTCAGCCAAATAAACAAATGATACTTTCCAGATATGAGAATTGCTGACTTTCAAGCTTAATTATTTTCAGGGCTTATATAGTAGTTAGCTCAGATACATGCTTGGTGTAATCTCCTTTGGAGGGGAAAAATAACGGGATGGAGACAATAACAGCACGGTTACACTGAAAGCTTTATCATTAGTTACCATGACAACTAATTACAGAATTTTATACAACAGAAGGAGGCCATTTGATCCATCGTGTCCGTACAGACTCCCAAAAGAGCTACCCACCTAGTCCTAACTGGAACCATAAATTTTACTATAGATTCATTAGGGTACAGTCTTTTCAGGAGTTTGGTGGCACAATGATACGATTTCTACCTCTGGACAGAAAGTCCAGGTTCTAGTCTCTTGCCACAGAGTTGTGCCACAAAATGTGGTTTAAAAATAACTGAGAGGACATTAAGAATCCACCAGATTGCAAATTACACAAGCCAGACAAAGCAGGGCTGGAAGTTTCCTTAACCTGAACAACATTCTTGAATTGAAGGCGTTTTCATGACAATTCCCCAATTTTTGACTACATTCTCATCTTGCTGTTGGAAGATTTGAGCAAGCAATATTAACCCTCAGTCCCGTAATTATATTGCTGAATTCCTTGCATTTGTCAAAAACTTTTGTTCAAAACCATTAATTTTGTCAACGGCTGGGTGATGTGGTTCAAGACAGTGACCATACACTATTTGTAAAAGGAACTGTACTTGGTCATTAATGCCACCACCCAGGGTTTGTAGAATCATAGAAGTGTTAATGGTGCAGAAGGGAGTCATTCAGCTCACTGCGTCTGCACCAGATCGGAACATGTTAAATTGGTGTCAGTCTCCTGCCTCTAGCCTGTACATTGAACAGAAACAATTACTCAATACCTTCTTGAATACCTCAAGTGATCTCATCTTCACCTCACTTCAAGGCAGTACATCCCTAACCCTAACTACACATTATGTGAAAACTATTTTTCTTACTTTACAGTTGCTGGTTTTGCAAAACGCTTGAGTGGAACTGCTTCTCCCCATCCACTGCCCAGATCCTTCACAATTTTGAAAACCTATAAAATCTTCCCTTGGTCTTGGCCTCTCCAAGAAATCAGTCCCAACTTAAGTTTTTCCTTCTATCTGAAGGGTCTTATCCCTGGAACTATTCCAAAATAATTCTTCTGCACTTTCTCCATACTTTGGCATTCTTCACATAATGCGGCAAATGGAGCTGTAGACAATGCTCCCGTTGAGGTTTAACGAGTGTCTTATATAAATCTATCATAATGTCCTGCTTTTGTAATTTATGCCCTTAAAGAAACCAGGAATACTGTGCACTTTATTAACAGCTCTAACTGTCCTGTCACCTTTAATGACTTGTGTACATTTACAGCGGTCCGTCAGCTCCTGCACACCCTTTAGAATACTGCAGTCATTTCTCTGGAACCGTAAGGGTTCCATTCTTGATGAAATTTGCAAGTGTGGAACTCATTAAAAAATAGGTTAAAAGCATCACTGATATGCCATTTTTGTTACTTTTGACATGGATAGGTGAATCTGAGATTTTGCAAAGAGGATCTACTGTAATATTTCATACTGTTTCTCCATGTACTTTGTATCAAGATGCCACACTGCTCACTTCTCAACACGAATTTCACCTGTCACCTAACGCCCACTTCACCAGCTTGTCTGTCCTTTTGGAGTTTTACACTGTCCTCCTCACAGTTGGCAATATTTTCAAGTTTTGTGCTTTCAAACAAACTTTGATATTATTCCCTGTACACCAAGATCTAGATCAGTTGTAGATATCAGGAAAACCAGAGATCCCAATTCTGACCCCGAGGAACTCCCCTACAAACCTTCATATTGCAAAGGGAAGTTTAGTGCTGTTTCATACCCCTTTTCTGATTTCGTAATTATGTTGCTACACTTCCTTTTATTCTATTACTTACAACTTTCCTCAAGCCTATTGTGTGGAACTGTATCAAAAGCCCTATGGAACTCCACGTACACCATTTCAACAGCCTTCCCTTCGTCAATCCTGTGTTACCTCTTCAAAAAACCCCTGCAAGTTAATTTGCCGCTTCCCTCCCTTAAATTCATGCTGACTCGTCTGAATCAATCCCCAACTTACCAAGTGACTATGTGTTCTTTCTCAACTGTTCCTCAAAGTCACCCCACAATTGCTGAGCTGATCCTTATAACCAAGGGTATAATGCTTGCAATTCTCCATTTCTCTGGTACCACTCTGGAATCCAATGAAGATTAACAGTATCTCTGTAATTTCCACTCTAATTTCCTTCAACATCTTGGTAAGCATTTCATCTAGTCTTGATGTTTTATCAACGTTTGAGTACCATTGGAAGTCAGAGCAATAAAAATTAGGAGGAGGCTAAAAACCAAATCTTTCAATGCTTTAAACTCTCAATACCAGCAGCAATGACATGGAGAATTTACAGCAAACCTCTATAATTCTATATTTAAAAATCCAAAGGGCCTTATACATTATCATTTCATTTTTGCACAATTACCAAAGCTTTAAGATTAGCGCTCACCTTGTCAAGTTAAACACATGGTGACCCAAGTTGCATTTCACTGTCGATGAGGAGGGTTTTTCCCAATGCACAGCATTGTGTTAAAGCAATCTGTTTGGTTGGTCACCCTCTTCAATAGTGGCAAATGGATGAGAAACATCTTCAAAAATAAAATATAAAACACACTTAAAAGAGGCAGCTTACCACATTCAAAAAAATTGTAAACAGGGCGAACTTTCAGGACTCTTTGCATATATTCGTGCAGTATGCAGACTTCTGATTTTCCATTTGGGTTAATGACAAACTCTGACAAGAAAGAAAAGGAGGGAGAAAATTAATTTTGATTTAATCTAAAGAAAGCTCCAATCGCAAGTAGTTTTAGATCCTTGCGGATTGCATTTAATACTAAATATTAAAATTTCTTAACTACAATGCAGCCATTAAAGTACCGTCACTAAATAAATAATTCATACAATTGACTAACGTCTCATACTTGTTGAACCAAATTTCCATTTCATGATCAATCCAGTAACGATGATTAATGCAACAAACAAATACAGTTCAAGGCATTTCATTTTTAATTTTACGGTTCATTATCAGTTGTAAAATCTACTTAATGGCTCAATTTTTCCCGATCAAAGATCATTTTTATTTTGTAGGCAACTCCATTTCTTGCTAATTAAAACGAGTTGCTCCTGCTATGCAATAGAAGTCCAATTGAAAGGTGAAAAATCTATCAATAAAGCAAATAGAATACTGCAGAACACAAATAAGGAAATCAATAACTAGAGGTTCTGACATTGTTTAGGTCATTGGTAAGGCTAAAGTATAATGCACAGATTTTATTAGTACACAGTAATGAATAAAGATACAGTAGAAGGATCTCCAATTCTTAGCAAAGGCCTCAAAGTGATAACGAGCCATGATCTTGAATGCTGCAGTCCACGTGATGTACCTATCCCCACACTGCTGCTAGAGGGAAAGATAGTGGTACCGTTGCCAGACTGATAATTCAGAACACCAGGCTAATGCTTTCAGAACATGGGCTCAAAACCAATCATGGTAGATGGTGAAACCTGAATTCAATAAAAGCCTGGAACAAAAAAACTCAAGCAAATGACAATGTAAGCACTGACTATCATAAAAACCCATCTAGTTCACTAATGGTAGGAACTATGCCACCCTTACCTGGACCAGCCTGCTTGTGGTTCCAGAAACCCAGTAATGCGGTTGACTCTTAATTGTCCTCCACAATTATGAATGAGCAATATACAGTCCTAGCCAGCTACATTCATTGATTTTTTCAAAAGTTCCAGGATTTGGAGCAAATGAAAATATATTGCATTTATCTTGTCAAGGCTGAATGGTGAGCGACTTAGTAGTGTTTCCACAAACCTTTATTTTCAGTGGCAGAGGTCTTGGGTTTGGGAGGTCCTGTCAAAGAAACTTTGATGACTTTCGGTAATGCCTTGCCTCCTCCATACACCAGTGAACGTTTAAACTGATAGATGAGATGCCAATCAAGCTGACTGGTCTTTTTTCCTGCACATGAGGCTTCTTCAATGTTGCAGTAACTCCATTCATTAAAAAGCATTCTTACACTCCCGACTTGTGCTTGTAGATACTGCACAAGCACTGGGCAGTCAAGTGGTGAGTCATTTATTGCAGAATTACCAGTGTCCGACTTGGTCTTGTAGTCACAGTATTAATACGATTGATCTAGTCAAGTTTTTGGTCAATGGTTAAGTCCAGGCTGCCAAATCAGGAGAATTAGTCAAGAGTAATGCTCAGATCTTCTTGTTGATGATAGTCATTGCCTCACACCAATTTTATTATTCAGATGTCACTGGTCGGGCCAGCATTCATTGACCACCCCTAGCTGCACTCAAATTGTGCCGAGTTGCCTACTTGAACCTCTCAGTCCAAGTAGGTCGACCCACAATACCATTAGGAAGAAGTTCCAGGATTTTGACCCAGTGGAAGTGAAGGAACAGGAATCTTAAGTGTTGAAGCTACACTCATCCAGGCAAGTGGAGAGTATTCATTCATTCTCCTGACTTGTATTTTGTAGATGGCAGACAAGATTTGGGAAGTGAGCTGGTGAGTTACTCACTGCTGAAGTCCCAGTCCCTGTTGTACTCTTACAGCACAAGTCTTTTATGGCTAATGCAATATGCCATTGAATGTCAAGGGCAATGCTAGATTCTCTCCTGTTAGAGATGGTCACTGTCTGGCACTTACGTAGTTTTTATGTTGCTTGTTGCTTGTCAGCCCAAACCCAGAGTGTCCAGGTCTCACTGCATTTGGGGATGGACACCTTCAGCCTCAGTTGTCATAAAATTGTGCTGAATGTAGAAAGAGAGATGCTTATTGATGATGGACTGATCTTATGGGGGGGGCAAAGAGAAGGTCACTGATGAAGCAGTTGAAGATGTTTGGACCTCAAAATCTAAGGAACTGCTGCAGGAATGTCCTGAAGGGTGATGACTGACCTCTAACAACTACAAACAGCTCCCTTTGTGGTAGGCATAACTCCAAAGAGTTCCCCCCCACCACAGTATTGCCAATGACCCTTCCACCACTTGACCAATTACTGAAATTAGGCTGAATGGGTTGGTCGTTGGCTGGATTAGATTTTTGCTTCATTTTTCACAGACAGGATGCACTAAGAAAAATTTCAACATTGCCAGGTAGATGCCAGTGCTGTATTTGTGCCCGAACAGCTTACGAGAGGCAAAAAGCTTCGTTCTGCAGTACACTTCTCCAGTAGAAGAATTAGATTGTAGTTGGGACCATTAATCTGTTGTGGTATCTGGTACACTCAGCCATGTCTTAATGATATGCAAGGGTCTTAATGATCCTTCCCATTCTGAGAAAGGGTCACCAGACCCGAAACGTTAACTGATTTTTTTCTTCAGATTCTGCCAGACCTGCTGAGCTTCCAGCAACTTCTGCTTTTGTTCCCAATTTACAGCATCCACAGATCTTTCGGTTTTTAAATGTAGAATGATCTGAACTGATTGGATGACCAAGGTGACCAAGATGGATCACCTACTTGGCAGGTCTGGTGAAGATGGTTGCTTAATGGGCAAGTAGATTTTTCTCAAGTTCTCAGGTGTCTAACCGGAACATAAATTGGCGCAGTCAAAAACTCTGAAGCAGACTTTTAAAACTGGCTTTTCAGCTAGCAGGAAAATTTGCACTCATGCTGAGTGATGTATTTGCTTGAAATAATGAAGCTTAATGCAAACATGAACCAGCTGCAAATAGGAAAATAAGGTGAATCATTACAATTCCCATTTTTACACTTATTCAGAGGACGAGCAGATACTCTGAATTTCCAAGGAGAAAAGATCACCAGATTTTTCTCTCTCAATAACCATGGAATCCAAACCCCATCACCTTTCAACTAAAAAAGGTTGCCAGCCATTAAGTTCTAACTTTTTATGCTGAAGAACAATGTTGAACTACTACTGCAGATCTTTATAAATGGTCTTCAAGCATAACTATCTCGAATAAACAGTAAAAACTCATTCCTTCTCCTTCACACCCATATCTAAATTTCCTGGCTCAGACAGCATTTCTACAATTGCAGACTGGGGGAGGGAGGAGTGGAGAGTGCTTCCCTTACAAAAATGACATTTTGCTGACAGTGGACCAATGTTCCCTCCATTTTTTCCTTTATTGTATGCTCTTGAAGATTTCTGTCCAGCCATCAAATGTGTTATCTTGTAGGAATGCTGGATGCATGCAGTCTGTTGTTCAATACACCACATTGTGGTTTGTTGGCTCGCCGAGCTGGTTCATGGTTCCGCAGATGTTTCATTACCCTGCTGGGTAACATCATCAGTGCAGCCTCTGATGAAGCGCTGGTGTGTTTTCCTGCCTGGTTTTTAAAACTCTGGAGTCTGTCGAGCTGGATTACCTCACTTCCGGTTTTCCTTCGTAGTGGAGTATAAATTCTTTACACAATTAAGAGGTGCGAACATATCCAACACAGAAATAAAATTGAAAAACAGACTTTTCCCCTCCCTTCAGCTCAAATTACATGACTACGTATGTCGAAGAAAAATAAAAAAAATCACTGGAGCCAGAATAAGAAATTGGTCCTCAAGTTCTAATATGTGAACTTATAAATCAAGCTTGTATACCATTTTGTTTGCATGCACAGAAGTTCAAGTTCACGTTCTGAAAGATGCTGCAAGCATTATTAAAACAGTTCATATTAGAAGATGGTGAAATGTTCACATGTTGCTTTTACCTTTTTTTGTGGGTGCATCCTGAACAGAGAGAGTAATGAGTTTTTGATTGGCTGGCAAAATTGGCCGCTCAGCTTCTGCTTGCTTCCGTTTCATCTCGCGGTTAAACTGACGCCGTTCAGCCCAGGTCCGGAATTTCTTCACAGTGACTTGCTCAAAATCAAAGCGTTTTTCCAAGTATTTTTTAAATTCCTCAAGAGCTGAATAATAATAAATGGGATGTGAACAGTACAAATCCATGTTCAGTGTACTTTGCTAGACTAATAATGCCAAGACATACCTTTGGACTGGAAATATAATTATGCATAAAATATAAAAAACCTTACTCGAGATTAACTTGCACTACTTAATAATAATTGCTTGGGATCGCAAACAATAATGGAAACTATTTTGACACGGAAAGATTACCAACTAGGTTTATGAACCTGAAGTTTTAAACAGTCTTCTAAGAGCACCTGGTTTCTGAAGCAAGAAGAATCTAGTCCAACCATAAACAGCTGTGCCGCTGTTAAATATGAAGCTTTAGAAAACCTTAAAGCTGCGTGTTTAGATGGCCAACCAGCCAGGTAACATGACGACTTCTAGCACAACCTAAAATTCATGGTGATAATATGGAATCTCATCCAATCTCACAATGCAAGGGGATTGGAGACCAAAAGCACAGACTTTCATTGCCAAGAGAATTTCAATTTAGGGGCAAGGATGTCTGGATGCATCTGTAGGGCCTTGGTAAAACTGTATCGGAAATATTATGCGAAGTTTTACTCTTAACTAGGAAAATATATATTTGCCACCAAAGGAGTTCAGCAAAGGCTCATCAAGCTGAATCCTGAGATGGCACGTTTCTCAGATGAGGAGACATAGGGTCAATTAGACCTGTATTCATTGGAATTTAGAAGATTGACAGAGGAACTCAAACATATTCAACTCTGATAGGGCTGGACAGGCAGTATGCAGGGATGATGTTCTCCTTGACCAGGGGTATCTAGAATAAGAGCTCTCAGTCTCAGGATACAGGGTAGATTATTTAGGACTGAGGGGAGGAGAAATTTCTTCACTTGAAAGATGGTGAACCGACAGAATTTTCTTCCACATAAGGCAGTGTAGGTCAAGTAACTGAAATATATTTAAGAAAGAAATAGATTTCTAGAGACTAAAGTCATCGAGGAGAATGAGGACAGAGTGCAGAGTTAACAAAGAGGGTCAATGATCATATTGAATGGAAGGGCAGGCTCAACAAGCCAAAGGTCTATTCTTGATTCCATTTCCTATCTTTCCATAAATGTAGTAATATGTGCAAATTTTTTTTAAAATGTAATTGTAGGATAGTGCAAAATCTTAAAAATGCTGAACCTCAGGTATGCCATCAAGGGACAGCACAATGTGGACTTGATAGTGCCAAGAGAAAGGCAGCCTGCAACAAAAACAAGTGATTGAGTCACTGCACATTTCCTTCAACTAAGTAAAGTCCAAATACTAAAACTGGGAGAAACCTGGTAGCATGTCCTCTTTGCCATGGACATCTTAAGTGTTAAAAAAAAAATACCAAAGGCCACTATATACATTCACACATCCACAAGGTGAAACACACATTAAATGCCTAGCCCAAAGAAAAATCATCACCTATTTGAAATAAGATCAAGAATGGTCTTACCAATAGATTCTTCTTTGCATACTTCTACTTTAGCCTTCACCTGTCCAAGGGCTCCTGCTGCAATGATTCCACCCATGGAGTCTCTTTCATCTAAGGATTTAGAGCATATTGTACCCGAGCTATTGTGAGGTGCTGAATTAGCAAGGAAGTCTTGATCAGTCGCAGTGCAGTCTGGTTTCTCATTTACTTCTAAAGGTGTGCTTTCACATTTATCTGGGGACATTTCTCCATTTGTGGTCACTTTCATTATCTCTCCATTACTAGCCAGCTTATTCTGCTCTTTTTCTTCTTGGTCTCTCATTTTCATGTAGTGTAGACAGGGAATGCTGCTCTGTGGAGGATCATGTTTCTGCATAGAACAAAAAACAACTTTTCACCGACTGATGTCAGATTTCTAATTGAACAAATGATTTGGTAATAATAACTGAACATGATTACTGATCCAGTAAAATTATTTGCATGGAAGGACCAAAATAAGATCATAATGTCTAGTACCAAAATGAACCCAGAAGGAAAGCTAGGTGTCAGCATATTTCCATTGCACATGTCCTGGCAAACAACTCAGTTGAAGGCACCAACAGATTGCATATTGTCTAAGACTGAAAAAAGGCAAATAAAAAAAAAAAAACATTAAGGCTGGGAAAATAAAATATATATATAACATTCAAGCCACCTCAATTCTTCTTGCATATCACACAGAGCAAATTCTAACAGTACAGTCCACAGGTGTTGCAAAAGATGAAGCATTCCCCATGGACAGATGATTTGTACTGCCGAGACAGCGAAAGGGAGAGTGACAATAAACAACACCATCAGGTCTACGGAACAAGGGGAAAGAAGGTGTTATGGACCAGACCAGATGCCCCAGAGTATATTCTGGAGATAGCCTAGACCCTAGCTTTTATAAATGTGACTTTTAAAATAAAGAAGAGTGCTGTGTTCCAGAGAGGATTTGATTGGTTCACCATTAAACTTCAGTCAAAATCCACACTTTATTCTTACACAGTTAAAATACAAAAAGAATTGGCATAACTTTACTTTATTGAAATATTTAACAAAATAATGTATCACTTAACCACTAATCATCAACTATTCCAGTACAAGCAGCATTCCATAAAACACACCCTTGGCAAAGGCAATTCAGCAATAGTTATACAGTTACTATTCTCATGTGCTGTCTCTCTCCAGTCCAGAACAAAAATACCCAAAGAGACAATCTGCCTCCTTTGATTTTTGAAAGGAAACCTCGTTGCCTAAGACTTCAGTTTAACAGCGGAGAACACAAACTTTTAGCTCCAACAGCCAGTTACAAACACCAACTGAATGAAAAACCAAAATTCTTTTGGGTCTGTGTCAGCCTGACACCACCCACTCATGATTCTTTGGTCTGACTTTAAAAAAAAAATAGCCAGGGAGAACTCAAAGTGGTTTACCAACTGCCTGACTGATGAAACATTGCAGCACCACTGTGACAATACCCCTCTGCAAGACAAATCACATCTCTTAATAGGGTCAGTACTGTCACAAAGGAAAAAAAAAAAAAGTGTTGCAAAGACTAATTCTTTGAACAAATTCACAGGTAACATCATTTATCGTTTTAGTAGGTAATAGTGCAGGTGAAGCATGAAATAAGAAAAATGAAGTCTTTTCCATTTGCTTTCCCAGTTAAACACACAAACCAATCTACTGCCTTCAAAATGAATATATTACCACTGTGGCTGATTTTCTAGAGTTAAATTGGCAGAATGGGTTGAAAGAAGAGAGGAGGATTGGTAGCAATAATAAATCATAGCATCCATGCTTGGCACAAGAAATTTAACATTTATTGGGTTATAAGAAAATAATTCAAGTTATGTCAATGGCTTTCTGGAGGAACACAGAATTCAATAGAAAGGTCAAAAATAACCAGAGTTTAATCCAAGGCCTGAGCAGTCTCAACATCGTCAGAGGAACAAATGGGATAGTGTAAATAAGACTCACTGATGAGCAGCATTTGTAACTTGTTGACTGGGTAATTTGTTAGACTTAGTGGTGGATTTATTTACATGACAAAAAAAAAAGAAGTGCTACCCAGTTAATCTCTACAAGAAAGTGCACAGATGCCAAAAAAAAAACTCACGTTAAGTCAACTCAAGTGACCTATTTTCTAATCAACCTGGTCAGAGATGTTATTAAACATCTCTGGAGCTAGTGAGTCTCAAACTCAGTCTCCTGCCTCTAAGGTTGGGACAGTACCACTGTGCCACAGGAGCCACTTAAAGCACTAGTAAGATATGAACCCAGGATCCTACTTTGTACCAGGCAGGTGCTTTAAACAAACTAAGCCACAGTGCCACCCAAGTTTTATTTAACCTATTTTTCTAGAATTAGAATTAGCTTTCGCTTTCATTGTCACGTATTCACTCGCATGAGTACAGTGAAAAATTTACAAGCTGCCACTTATGGTGCCATCTTAGGTCCAAATGTACCTAGGCACAGAATCTTCTCACAAAAGCAGAAAAACAAAGAAAGCAAGCCAAGAAGTTAAACATTACAGATCTTCTCACTAAAGTACTGAAAATTTAAAGAACCACAGTTAATAGTTCAACATCACTGCCCTGGGCTTGCATTCTCCCTGCTGCCTCGGGCTGCCTGTTCCCACTCACCACCGGCCACCTGTTCCCGCACTTGCCTCAACCTATTTAGGGACATTATTACACACCTCTGGAGGAAGTGAAACTTGAACCCAGGCCTCCAGGTCCAGGGGTAGAAGTGCCAACACTGCGCCACCAGAGGGCCCTTTCAACTCAAGTGGAGGCATCTACACCACACTGATAAAGCTGCTGATCAAATAAGACCCAACACTATTATCGCATAACAACAAATACTGGTCTCAGTTATGCCTATGACCCAAGGATAGCTCAGTCCTAAGACATCAGTGCAGGATTTCCTCAGAATAGGGTCTTAGACCCAAACATCTTCAGTGACCTTCCCCAACACAAGGTTGGGAATGGGGATGTTTGCTGACAACATCAAGTGCAGCACTACTTACAACTCTTCATTTACTGATGCAGTTCATGTTCACATTCAGTAAGGCTGGGGTTGATAAGTAGCAAGTAACAAATGCCACACAATTGCTGGGAAATGACTTTCACCAACAAAAGGAGATCTAATCATCGCCCCTTGATGTTCAGTAGCATTACTATCACTGAATTCCCCACTGTTAACATTCCAAAAATTACCATTGACTAGAAACTGAACTGGATCAGCCTTGTATATCTCAACAGCAAGACACAGGCAATTTGTAGCAATAACTCACCTCTCGTCTCCCCAATGCTTATCCGCTCTCTCCAAGGTACAAATCCTAAGTGTGATAGAATGTCTCCACTTGCCACCTTCAATGGCACTGAAGAAATTCCCCACCATTCTGGACAAATCAGACCACTTGACTAGCACCCCATCCATAACCCTCAACATCCACTCCCTTAATCAATGCAGAAGCACATCAGTGTGTACTATTACAGTGAATTAGACTGCAAGGGTTAAATAGGACTTTTCATATTTATAGTTAAAATAAAAAGCTTGCTCTCCTGCTATTTTGCAGTAATATAGGATTATAATCCTGTACTCGGTCTCTGGTGGTCGTTTATCAGTAGTAACAACATCACCTATAAAAGTATACTGCAGTAACACACCAATGCATCTTCAATAGCATCTTACAAATCTACAATCTTTATCACCTAGATAGATAAGGGCAGTAAATTCATGGGAAATATCACCTCATGCAAGTTCTCCTCTAAACTGCTCACCATTCTGACTTGGAAGTATACTGTCACATCATTGTCACTAGTTCAAAATCCTAACACTACCCTTCTAACAGCATTATGGATCACCCTATACCCCCAGGACTGCAGCAATTCAAGATGACAGCTCAATTAGAAAGGGCAACAAATGCTAGTTTAGCCAATGATACTACATTCTATGCACAAATATTTTTAGGAAAAAAAAACAGTACGCCTCCAGATTCATAGACATTTTCTGGACACAAAATCGCAGTCTTGATCAGAAAACGAAGCATACAATTATTTTCATGACACATTACCGAATTTATCTCCTACCCTGATGCTTCCGGTTCCTAAGAAATAAGGTCGTGACCAGGTAACCACTCTGGTTTCCCTGTGCAGGTAAACTGGAATACCAGAATTATGGAATGTCATGATCCAGCCATCAGGAAGGGGTTCACTTGGTGGACGGCCACGATCTATAAAGGTTAAAACAAATTTAATACTAAGAAAAGCCCAAGATCTCTTAATTCAATCACAATACAAAGATAGAATGCAAGTAAAGATGGGGGGAGGTGGAGGGAGCATTTTTTAAGGTGAGAGGACAAAGATTTAAAAAGGATGAGGGGCAACTTTCTTTTAAAAAAAAAACTACATAAGTTCATATGTGGGATGAATTGCCAGAGGAAGTCGTAGATGCAGCTCCAGTTACAATGTTTAAAAACACTTGGATAAGTACTTAAATAGGAAAGGTTTGGATGGAATTTGGGCCAAATGCAGGTAAGTGGGACTGGTTTAGTTTGGGAACATGATCGACATGGACTAGTTGGACCAAAAGGTCTGTTTCCATACTATGTAATGCTGTGAAAATATTGTCGAACTGACTGACAACTGTGGCGGTGACCAATGAAAACTGACAAAAGAAAAAAAAACACCACACATGGCTTACAAAAACCCAACTGAGATCATAATTGCAATGGCTGCTATAAAGAGCATGAAGAATGATTGGATCCAACTGCCACTAATTTTGTTGTTGAAGCATAACCCCTGGCGGGTTGTACTTGTGAATTAACCTTTTAATTGGTGAAACAGGAGGTTTGGTGGCAGAAGTAAAAGGAATGATTGGAACACCATTAGAACTGAAACCAAAGAATACTCCAGGATGGAAATTTTAAATGAAAAATATTTAGTTTCCCAGATCTAAATGAATTGTCTATCTGAGAAATAAGAAAATAGAGAGAATTAATCTAAAGTACATTTCCTGATAAACCCATTTCAGTGCACCATAGGTATAAATCCAGGTTCAGTGAATCTACTGAACTTTAGGCATGAGAACACCATGTTAACATCAAGATTTGGCAAAAATTACTGAATTACCTTAATTTCTCTCAGTTCAACTTTTCTCCCCTATTCTGACCAAAGGTCATTATTACCTGAAGTTAAAGCTCACAGAACTAAGAGCAGGTATTGTCCTGATGAGGACAGTGGGTGAGCAGCAGGACAAAGAAAGTAGGGATCATGGACAGGTAGCCTAATTGGCATGAAGCAGCATTCCAGAAGGATCTGCAATGGGGCTTTGACTATTTGTTGCATTTATAATGTCTCAGAAATGTGGTTTCTAGCCCATCATATAAGTTTGCTAACAGCAAAAGATAGTTGTCATTTTAAGCAGTGTAGATGGAAGCATAAACAGGGAATAGTAATACATTAAGTGAATGAGTAAAAGAATGGGAATTGCATTTTAATTAATCCAAGTGTGAGTTCATCCACTTCTGACCTAAAAGGATCGTTTCAAAATGGTTAAAGGTTAGAAACAGAAAACCAAGTGAATTCTGTATTTGGCATACAGGCTACTAAAATGTCATGAACATTCAGAGAAAGTTATCAACAAGTTTTTGGAATGCTATGTTTTATATTTAAAAGGGCTACAGTATAGGGATTAGAAGTCATATTGCAAAGCCCAGCTTACTTGGTATGGGCTGTTTCCTTCTGGGCATCTCACCTTATAAAGAATATATTAACACTGGACAGAGTGGATTGACTAGAAAGATACCTGGACTCCAGTAGTTAAATTAAGCAAGATTACACAAACTTCGGTAATATTCCATGAAACATAAAATATTAAGTACTTGGTCAAAGTTTGTAAGATATCAAGAGATTGGGGAATCTAGGACGATGGTACGTTGTGCAAAATCTGGAAGCATGGCTTTCAGGAGCAAAACTGGAAAACACATCTACGCTCAAGAGGTTATCAAAAGTTTTGAAACTTGCTTCCACAAACAACAATTGCTGCCAAGTCAATTCTTTAGTGTAGATCAGAGGCTGATAGCATTTTGTTAACCAAAGATTAGCCACGATTTCACTGAGTGAGGAACAGACTGAAAGGCTTACCGTTCTTGTGATAGTTAAAAAAGGACTTTCACCTGCAATAAATCTATTGTACGCCAACTACACTTCTATTTGATTTCAACCTTGGATGTAAAACATGGTTAATAAGTTGCTTGTTCTCAAATACCATCCAGTACCCATTTAAAAAGTGTACTACAAATCTGACATTCCTTTAAGTATTGGTTAAATTTGTTTCATCAGTTAGTCCTATGTGGTCTGACAGTAATCAAGGAGGGACTATTATAAACAAAGGATCATGGATGCTGGAAATCTGAAACAAGAACACACAGTGCTGGGAAACACAGTGGGTCTGGTAGCACCTGTAGAGAGAAAAACAGAGTTAATATTTCCACTCCAGTGACATTTTCTCCTGACAGATGCTGCCAGACCTGCTGCTATTCCCAAGAGTTTCAAAGGCACTGATGCTGGTTGAGCTTACTCCCATTAGCCAACTCTACAACTTCAACTTTTCCTTCAGAAAAAAAAAACTTTTATAATGCAATAGGAGTTTGCACAGTTTACAAGTGTATCACAAATAACCTCCCAATCAAGATATTGCTGGAAAACTGACATTTCAAGAGAAATCTCATAGGATTTGAGACAAAAAAACTCTTGATTGATGGAAGCATAATCTATAATTGTACAAATACTGTTGTACTGTTGCTGAACCAAAATCCTTAGAAGACCCAAGGCTCATATTCCAGGTTGGCAATTTAATTTAGACAGGGCTGGAGTTGGGGTGTTTATACACACAAAAACAAAAATCAGTCAGAGTTACACAGTTTGTTACTGACAATGATGCCTGGAAATTGTGTAAATGTGGATGGTCCTTAAGGATAAATTATGTTAATCTGTGACACTGTTCGTAGCAAAATCTTTGGCCAATACAATGATACTTGTGAAAAATTGTCATCTTAGCAAGGTTTGGCCGGAGTCTACTAAACTGTATAATATCTTCAACAGATTAAACAAAACCTGTTAGCTTGTGTCATTCACTTACTTTTTAACACAGTTTTAATTTTGGTCATCATTGGCTGCACACTTGTTTCTTCATCAGTCTGGTGGTCACTATCACCAGTATTCTCCTCTTCTACCCGTTTCCTCTTTCTGGGAGGAGGTAGCACTGCCTCCAGTAGTGCATCAACATCATTATCAAAATCATCCTGCAAAATACAGCATTGAAGGCCATCCCACTATAACAGTACGAAGATTTCTAAACAGGACATTTCAAAAGAAAAAAACTTTAACTCCAGCTGCACTAACAGGATTATTCTGTCATTTGGATTATGTTTGTTCCTTTAAACTAAAAGATTGTAGGGTCTTACACCAAGTTGTAGAGCATTAAGCACAAATATTGATCATTTCCCAGATGTCTGAAATAAAATACTTATGTACACTAAGCCAGATGTTTAAATTTAGAGTCTGATATTCCACTGACGAATGAAGTTGTGGCTCACTCAGCAACTAGGAATCACTCAAGTGTCCTCACTTTGTTTCCGTGCAACTTGAAAACATTTTTAATCATACAGAAATTAATTTATAATAGAAGGAAGGCTGTTAGCACTTTAAACTGCTTTGAAGCTATGAAATAGTTGTTTTTAAAAAACACCTCATGAAACAATAACAATGTAGCCGAATTAAAATGGTGAGCCCAAAAGCAAGCTTGTACCTTATCAAGAGACTTTATTACTACAATAACATTAAGTGGAATGCCAGTATTTAAATTTGACGTATTTGGCAGGTCAATAAGTTTCTTTGCAGGACTAAAAATAAGTTACGTATAAAAAATTGGCTTTATAAAGTGGGCAAGTTATTTCAAATTGAAACACACACAATACACTGAAGATACAAAAGATACTTGCTGCACACTTCCACTGTCAGAGTTTAAGGTTCCAGCCTGGGCTCGATGGCATCACTGTATTGAGCTTTATCTAATGCTCTGGTCAGTCTTCAGAGTTGGTTCATCCATACACACCTACAGATGGGTGGACTCAACTCCGACTAACCAATTCATAGACAAGGAACGGGCATCAGAACTACGCAGCAGTTTGTATTTCTGTTCATCCATTATTGACTGAAGGACCACAGTTGCAGAAAGAGAAGCGAAGTAGGAATGGAAGGATATTTTTGTACCAACAAATAAAAAATTAAGACAACCTGCATATTCATTAAAAACACCTTACTAATTATGTGTAAATATAAATACAACTTGTTGCACAGCAGACAGAAATAAATGGACTTCTTGATTAAAATTTTACCAGCTGGAAAGTTGTTGATGGTGAAGTGTGCTGGTCATAATGGGCTAGAAAAACATATACAGGGTTCAAAATACTAAACATATTACCTGATGCATGTAATTAGAAGGAGCAATTAAAAGTCAGAGTAAGCGAACTGCAAATGTCAACAATTAACAAATACTGGAGTATAGAAATATTATTTGCAATTTAATGACAGGATATTTTGAATAAGAAAGGTTACATGCATCAGGCAGGAACAAGGGAGAGAGAGAGAGAAAAAAAAGAGAAGATAGGGAAGCCATTTATATCACACAAGGAGAAGTCACGTGCAATCACATGCACGTGAGTATTTTGAACCCTGCTCACATACCTCAAAAGAGTAACTCAGAGCTTCTTCATCGATGTGATCCTGCTGAATGATCATTTCAGATTTGAAACCTGTTCCCTCAACATCATCAGTTTCGAAGTTTTCTGTAAAGTCTTCTAGTTCATCCAGAACTGCAAATTCCACTTTTTTCTCCTGATTGTCTTCAATCTCTTGCTTACTAGTATTTTTACTACAGATACCCCCTGGCCCCACTACTCTATTACTGTCAAAAGGAGTGCCATGCAAATCTCCATTCATGCTCTTGATAAATTCAGTACTTTTCTCACCAGATTCAAGACCAGTATAAACTACCTGTCTGTCCTTGCTTTTACTACTATCTGTAAAGACAACTCGAATTTTTACATCCTTGAGTAACTTAATATCAGGGGCAAACTTAGGAACAGCCGGTGCATGACGTGCTGTCCTTGGATTCTGTGGACAGCTTTCCGATACTGTTGTGAACTGACTGTTAAAGGCAGTGGATTCCATCGTAAGAAGCCGGTCTTGGCTGCACGTGTTAGAGTCCCCAGCGGGAGTGTCTGAAAGTCCATCACCACCAGAGCCAACGTCCATAACTTCTGCGTCACTGGACATTTGCAGGGGAGGTGGTGGAGGCGGCGGCGCGCTTGGAGGAAGAGGTGGGGGACACGGCTGATTCTCCACATTCAGTGGCTCTTTGGGCATAGGTGGCATACTTCCAAACGTCTCCATTTTTCCAAACTTATTAATTCTAAGCTAGAAAGAATCCTAAACAAATTATATCTTAGTCAAATACCCAACTAAGAAATTAAACATATGCCAGTCCAAGTAAATTTTCTCAAAGTTATGGTACTAAGCAAATTTTTACAGATGATTCAGTTAAGCTGACTACATTGTTCTTTTCATTAAAGTAGACAGCTTTTAGAATCACTGTCTCAATTATTGGAAATCACAATGTATTCAGCTTAATCAACGCCTGCGATTAGATAGAATTCATCATCTTGAGTCCTTGACACCATCTTCTACTGATCACCACCTGCAGAGATACAATAAAATGCAATAAATACTTTTCAACCAAAAAAGATTATGTATGAACTGTTAGAGAAACTCTAGCTGTCAGGATAATGCCTTGCTTTAGCAGAGTACTCAATTTCCATTCTGTTCTCTGTTTAAGCTGTTTTTGCTCATTCATTCATTCTCGTCTACTTTAAGTATTAAATAAATGGATTAACAGCTTTACAGATGCAGTGGAGAAACACATTTTAAACTAATGCATGAAAGCATTTGTACACAAGTACCCAGCAAATACGATTTCAGAGCTGAAGGTTCCAGGTACTGGAAAAAGTATTATCAAGATTGGTTATGTTCTTATTTCTAAATAAGAGTCATGTTTTACAGATGCATTTTATTCCCCAGTTTTATTTAGTTTCCCCCCTGGTGAAGCCAAAATAAAAACTATTCCAAAAGCAATCTTTCATTGTGTATTAAGTCTGGCTAAATAGATATCTCAGAATATTATAATCAGCCAAATCAACAACTTGTAACCTGTCCAAATCCTTTTTAAAATTATTCATCAAACAGTAAGCAAGTAGTCAGCAACTAAGTAATACATACATTATAGTAATGCAAAAAAAATTATACAAATGTAAGTCTTTACTAATCAAGATGTAGATAATGCTTAATGTCAGAGCACATTAAACACATACATCATTTTGACAGAGAGGAGAATTTTATATTTATCACAAACCTCCCAAAGCACAGTTATTCAAATGTAGCCACTACTACACTAGCAAAGTATAATCATACATATAAAATCATAATTATTTTCAAATTTGATACAATAAATTAAGCAGTACAGCACGAAAAAATCCAATCTGCAGATTAATCAAATTCAGCCTGACAATTTAATTTCAGATTTTAAAAATAACTAGATGATTCCAATACATCCAAACACTTGAACTTAATAGTTCATATTCTAATATATCAAAGGAAAAAACAGAAAGCATTAGAAATTGATGTAAAGTTATTTCTAGTGAAAGAAAATTGGTCATATAGTAGACAGTGAAGGTTATCTAAGATTACAAAGAGATCTTGACCAATTGGGTCAATGGGCAGATGGAGTTTAATTTGGAGAAATGCGAGGTATTGCATTTTGGTAAAACAAACAAGGGCAGGACTTATACAAATAAAAGTAGGGCCTTGGGTAGTGTTGTAGAACAGAAAGACCTAGAGGTTCAGGTACATAATTCTTTGAAGCTTGCGTCAAATGGGTGGTTAGGAAGGCATTTAGCATACTTTCTTTCATTGCTCAAACCTTTGAGCATAGGAGTTAGGACATCATATTGAAGTTGATGAGGCTTCTTCTGGAGTATCTTGTCCAGTCTGGTCACTCTTATACGAAGGATATTATTAAACTGGCGAGGGTTCAGTAAAGATTTACCAGGATGTTGCTGGGATTGGAGGGTTTGAGTTATAAGGAGAGGCTGGGACATTTTTCCACTGGAGTGTAGGAGGTTGAGGGGTGACCTCAGAGGTTTATAAAATCATGAAGGGTATAGATAAGGTGAATGGCAGGTATCGTTTCCCTAGGGCAGGGAATTTCAAGTCAAGGGGGCATATTTTTTAGCTAAGAGGAAAAGGTTTGTAAAAAAGGTTTTAAAAAAGGACATGTGGGACAACTTTTTATTTTAAAAAAGTGCCATTCATGTGTGGAATGAACTGCCAGAGAAAGTGGTAGATGCGGGTACAGTTACAACTGTTGAAAGACATTTGGATAAGTACATGCATAGGAAGGGTGGGGAGGGATTTAGGCCAAGCGCAGGCAGGTGGGACTAGTTTAGTTTGGGGTTATGGTCGGCATGGACCATTATGGTTGAACCGAAGGGTCTGTTTCCATGCTGTGTGACTGTATGATAACTCAAATCCCTTTACTGCCTTTACCCCCTCCGAAATGTTAGCTCCCTGATACCTTATATTTAAAAAAAAACAATCGATCTTTTCATAAATTCCAAATGTGCTGAGCCTTTCAGCGATCTTCGCTGTAGCGTTACGGCAGGTGAAACTCGATGGAAGTCACACAGCAACAGGCCTTTGATCAGACTCATTCAGCTTCACTCATTCAACACGAACCCGTATCTAACCAGAGGATTCAGTTAAAAATAAACAAATCCCAGCACCGACTTAAAAAGAGACACTGAGTCCCAGTATTAACCACCCTTCTGTCTAATTTAACATTAAAAGTTAAGCGAGAAACCAGAAAGAACCCCCCTCCTCCAGGCCTGATCCGAGGCCTAGCCTAGACTTCGACAAAAACAAAGTATTGACTTCGCGAAATCGCTTCTCGGAGATTAACCGTGGTTTAATGGTTAACGATTAAATAAATAGTATCTTCAATGCTGAATTTATGCTAGCTTAGTGCAAAAATAAAATCCTACCGTAAAAGCTCATCACATCGAAAAAACATCAGACAATTTCACGGCCCTCCCCGCACCCAAAACCTCCGGTACCAGCAGCAGCTCCAAATTCGTCAAAGCGCATGCGCGGCATTGATGATTGATATCTCGGTCAGCCAATCGACAGAAGCGTAGCGAAGTTTGGGGGGGGGCACTGGACTGTCAATCATCAACGGAAGGAGCGACGCCGGTACGCATGCGCCACAGGCTTTGAATGACTGGTTTATTGCCCCAATCGCAGCCACATTGATGTAGCCATCCAAACCCGCCTTCTCCTTGCCAGCTCGTTACGACGCCGCTATAATACGCGACTGTCGGTAATTGACGACCCGCCTAACCAATCGCCAACCAACCATCACTGTGACGGCGCGGGATTGGAGTTCATGTCAATCATCGGTTCGTCCCCCGCCCATCAAATGCGCATGCGTTTTATAGTCCATTGACAATCACCATGGCAGTGCGGGAAGGAATCTGTGAAAATAGGTATAGCCTTACTCTACAAAATGGAGATGAGAGATTGCTCTTTTAAAATAGCGAAATGCTTGTTTTTATTTATTTGTAGTACTTGTGCGCCGGTATTTAGGAAGGGGGTGGTCGTCGGTTAGCTCAGCTGGTTGATTTATGCTTTGCCAAGAGAGGCTGAGGTTACCATGGTGACAAATCGAGTTAAACTACCGCTAGTCACTGAGGTGTACAGCACAGAAACAGATCCTTCTGTCCAAGTCATCCATACCAACCAGATATCCAAAATTAATCTAGTCCTATTTGCCAGCATTTGGCATATGTCTCTCTAAACCTGATGAAGGGTCCACTACTGAAGCGTGAACTTTCCTGCTCCTCTGCTGCTGCCTGACCTGCTGTATTCCTCCAACTCTACACTGTATTGACTCTGACTCTAGCAACTGCAGTTCTTCCTATTTCCTTCGAGACCCTTTCTATTCATATACTCATGCAGATGCCTTTTAAATGGTGTAATTGTACCTGCCCCCACCTACATCCTCTAATTCCATTCAAACACCATCCTCTACTTGAAAAAGTTGCCCTTAGTTCCTTTTCAAACTTTCTCCTTAAACTTATGCCCTCTAGTTTTGGACTCCCCTACCCTGTGGAAAAGACCTTGTCTATTCACCCTATCCATGCCTGTCATGATTTTATAAACCTCTATAAAGGTCACTTCTCAGCCTCTGGCACCCCAGGGAAAATAGTCCCAGCCTGTTCAGCCTCTCCCTATAGTTCAAACCCTCTAACCCTGGCAATGTCTTTGTAAATCTTTTCTGAACTCTTTCAAGATTCATAACATTTTTCCTGTGGCAGGGAGACCAGAATTGAACACAATACTCCAAAAATGGCCTGACCAATGTCCTGTACAACTGCAACATGACCTCCCAACTCCTGTACTCAATGATAGTAGGAACTGCAGATGCTGGAGAATCCGAGACAACAAGGTGCAGAGCTGGATGAACGCAGCAGGCCAAGCAGCATC